TAAGAATCTGGCAGCACTGCCACAGATCATCATGTAACATGTATTCAATCTTTGTGCAAAAAAAAAATGTCAAAAAAAATAAAGATTCCATGTATTAAAAATCTATTTTAGTCATTCAATATGTGCATCAGAAACAAAGATTCATCATTTGTCAAAGACTCAAGAACGAACACAATTTTTTAAACTGATTTAAATATAGCCATCTGTCAATATTTAAAATGTATACACAATGCTATTTTACTTTAAAAATCACACATTTAAAAGATTTTCATTACCAAACTACCAAAAAATAATAACATCTAACAATAGTCAAAATGTAACACTTCACAGATAATCAATCAAACACACAAATTATGTCATTTAAAAACTAAACTTCAAAGGAATCAAATAGTTTAGCCATTTATACACGGTCCTACATTATAGACATTTAAATCAACATTACTTTCATTTAAATCTAGACTTGGTCAAACTGATTTAATATATACTTGGTCAAACTGATCAAATTCTAAACAAAATAATAGAATTCATCAGAGTATAAGTACATAGTCCTATATTAAAATCTGAAAAATATGTATTTCTCATTTAGTAAGTGATCAAATATACTATCTCTTTATAGATAGTTTTACATTGAGTAATAATTACCATCACAGTTAGCAGGCCATCATCTAACATGTATAAAACTGTAGTGTACAATAATGGCATCAGATTTAAAGATTCATCATTTGCCAAAGACTTTAAAACAGTGTTAGTACATGTATAAAATGAAGAAGTGCAAAAATATAAGGGGGAACATGTGTATTCAATTACAGGAATAGTATACTGCATTGTGGTTTTCCAAAAAAAAAAAAAAAACTGAACAATCATAATCATTTTAGTATATGTCAAAACATTAATGATGGTCACCCAATAAAGCATTCAAGATATAGCAAATATGCATACTCTAACTACAAACAGATGTCATAATTGCAACATTCAAAACAACATACCACATGAGGAAAATTGTTTCTTCTACACTAATAGGGAGCAAAAGGAAGCAGATAATGAACAACCAAGGTATAGTCTACACTATAAACACTTTAATTTTCAGTTTACCTTTTTGTGGTTTTATTTCTCTGCACACATCCTCTTCTGCTTCATAAATGTATAGCTATTCCTACCACAAATCGGAAGTCTATTTACCATTATTGATGCATCCTGAGCTTCCCATCTTTTTCTTATACCAATAAATATGAACACTACACCCCTGAAAGTTAAGATTAGGGAATTTAGTTTAAACCCTAACTGCTAACTTCCGAATAAAATATTTGAATAGCCAAATCAAATTATGAATCTGTAGACTGTGCTAAGATACGAATTTAGGGAAATATTTGTTGGTATTTCACTTATATTAGCGAAGATTGCGCGAAATATGCCTTGAATGTCTATCTACGGTGATGAACACTGTACGTAGGCATACACATATGCAAAATGTTTAAATAAAAAAGAGAATCGGATTCAAGAATATATAGTATATGATAGGACATAGTAATAGATTAAAATGGGTAATAAACTTATCTGAGAGCGACTGGCTTGAAATAGGGTAATAATAATTATCTAGATCATCACTCAACCTTCGATCCCTCAAATTACCAGAGAAAACGGAGATCGACTAATCAAAACCCAAATCTAGATCTCAATTAGAAGATCAGCCACTAAAAATCAAGATAGACGAGTAAAAATGAAGATCTGCCACTAAAAACAACGATCTTCGAGTAACAAACGAAGATCGGGCACTCAAAATCGAGATCTTCGAGTAAAAACGAAATCAGCCACTACAAAGAAAGATCTTCGATTAACAAACGAAGATTGGGCACTCAAATCCACGATCTTCTACTGAAAACGAAAATCAGCTGTTATAAATTCAAACCAAGCTAGGGTTTTGAAAATCTAGCCTCATCGGATGTTAAAGGTCATGAAGACCTTACAGACATATTCTAATCTTGGCTAAATTTGTACAAAGCTCAAGAGTGTGTTGTGAGATTAGGAAGTCTGACTTCGGATATGGATAATGTTAGAGAGGAGATTAGGATAGTGTTAGAGAGAATGCTAGCTGAGAGTTGGGTGGCCAGATGCTGGGGGTGAGGATGACATCCGTATAGTGAAGAGTTTGATCAGTGGGTCGGGTATGGGCTATGTTATATATTTGTAGGTTGGGCTTTGCATTAAAATAAAAAGATCTTGGGCTAGATTACATCAATGTTTAATTATACATGTTGGGGTTGTTGGCAGCCCATACTTAAACAATAATTAATTAATTTTAAACATAGGTGCTGATGAATTCATATTAATTGTTTTAATTATTTGTGTATTTAAGGTACACTATTTTTGTAAGAAATGTACATTAGTTGCATTTACCATTTTTTATTTGATTTTTAATTATGTTACACGGTACTGTGTAGACCATGGTTAATGTATTCACGATTTAAAGTAATGCATTATTTCTTATAATACATAGCTTCTAATAGTGTTTAAATATGTTACCATTTTTACATTGCATTATTTCTTGCACTGTACTATGTGGCATTTTTTAGTACTGTGTTTGTCATGATCCACGCAAGATTGTGGACAGTGAATGTCAGAAACAGTTTTAATTAATACAAAATGTACATTATTCACAAAACGTTATTAACTATGTTAGCGTTTCGATATTGCATATATTATATTTAGGTTACACGGTACTGTGTGTACCATTGTAATTTTAATACAGATCTTAATTCATGTATGGTTTTTGACAATATTTTTTTTTTCATTGCATAAAATGTAGAGAACAACGATACCATTCGAGAAGAGAATACTAATGATCCACAAGTGGAATACACACCACAACCATATTGTAATTCAAATGATAGACCAAAAAGTGCTCTTACAACAGGTAAACTATTTAAAGTTTGTAAAATTTTATTTAACAGGTTATAACATATTACAAACATGTTATGTCTTTTCAGTTAATAAAGAATCTTTGGATATACAAATTAGTACGCGAAGCATGGAATATACAACCAGCAACAGTAAATCAAGGCATTTTGTGTTAGGAGGACGAAAGCCATTACCTTCAAGTGCAACAAGCGATATACTTAACGGTTAGTTTTTAGTTAATGGCCAATTACTTAATTGTTTTTATTCCAGTTACATATTATAAACAATCTATCATTAAAAATGTTAAATATGTTATATAAAAGGTACCTTCACAATGTCTGAGAACAAACGACCACCTCTACAGGATATATCCAATGGTAAGTATTCTTTATATCATTTTTGTTGCTTAATAAATGTTTTTTTTTATGCCAGCTAAAAAAAGTAAACTATAAATTAATTAGGTAACACAAACTGCAACAAAAGGAAATGCATGGATGAGGGTAAAACTGTTATCCAGTGTAATGTTGTCAACCGAGATTTGTTTCAAGATTTTGAAGAGTTTCCAATATGGATATAATTTCTAAAACCGTTCAAGACAATTATGGTACGTTTAATATTAAATAGTAGTAGTTTGCAAATGTTTCATGGGTTACTTCTTTGTTTCAGTCATATTTAGTTCTTACGCCCAAAAGGATTATTATTTTTGGGAAACTAATATGATATATTCTACGTAGGATTGTCACCAATTACACAACAACATATCCAAGAAAGTGCAAATGGTAAGTAATTATTTGTATACAAATTACAATGTCATTACAATTTTTTGGATATGTTTCAAAATATTTATAGATAAGATGATTTATGTACATGGTAGGTACAAAACAATGCAACGAGACATCGTGCACAAACCAAGTTACAGTACTAATGCAGTCGACAATTGGAATTTCAAATTTTAACCAATCAGGTGACGAACAAGCAAATAAGTCTCAAATTACAGAACTGACTGCTTTCAATACTGGTATGTATAATATTATTCGGTCTTCTAATTCATATGTTACAGTTTAATTAATCGGTTTTGAATTCTCAACTTAGTGGAATACCAAGATCTTGGTGATGCAACTATAACATGTCAACACTGTGGAGCGCTTTTTTGGTACGAAGAAAGGACACACAAAACAGATAATCGCGGCCACCCAAAATATAACCTGTGTTGCAACAATGGTAAGATCCAATTGCCACAAACGATGGTGCCACCACAAGCTATATATGATCTTTTTTTTTGGAGAAGGAGAAAAAAACAAGCAATTTCTACACAACATTAGAGCATACAATAGTATGTTCTGCTTCACTTCGATGGGTGGTAAAATAGACCGAAACGTGAACAGCAACGGTGGTCCCCCAATCTTCCGTATAAATGGCCAGAACTTCCACTACATTGGTACTCTATTTTCGGTAGACGGTAAGAAACCACATTTCGCACAGCTGTATATCTATGATACGAACAATGAAATTGACAACCGTGTCAATTCTGCAACCCCAAGTGGCCTGAGGTACAACGCTTCTTGAATACAAGAAAATTAAGGCCAGAAGATCGCCCAGACATAATTTGTAGAATATTCAAATTGAAGTTGGATGCCCTACTATCAGAATGTCGAAAGAACAAGTTATTTGGCCCAGTCATTGGAGGTACGTGAAAAATAAGCTACTATTTTAATGATGAAGTTTCTAACCCATAGCAATGTCCCAAGATTTAGCTCTATTCTAAACTTTCTTATCTTTTTCATTGTTAACAATGATCTATACCATAGAGTTTCAAAAAAGAGGTCTACCGCATGCTCATATACTTTTGTTCCTGAATAAAAACAATCGAGCGCAAAGTGGTATAAATCTGGACAACATTATTTTAGCTGAGTTACCTGACCAAGAAACAGATCCAGAATACTTCAAAGTTGTTGAGGAATTTATGATGCATGGTCCTTGCGGGAAAGCACAGTTGACTTCTCCATGTATGGCGAATGGTAAATGTACTAAACACTTTCCAAAGAAGTTTGTTAATTTGTCAATTGTGGACGAGCATGGTTATCCTATATATCACAGACGAGACAATGGCCGGTCTGTCATGCGTAATGGTATTCAGTTGGATAATAGGTACGTAGTACCACACAATAGACATTTATTACAAAAGTAAAGAGCTCATATTAACGTGGGATGGTGTAATCAGTCCCGTTCAATCAAGTATTTGTTCAAGTACTTCAACAAGGGCCATGACAGGGTAACAACAGAGTTTTACAAAGCCAACTGCGATGCAGAATGTCCAAAAGTTATTGATGAAATCAGTATGTTCTATGATTTTGATTTTATGTCCATGTTCTATGTCTATAGTTATAATATGCGATTGATAATACTATCACAGATTTGATTTTATCTGAAGATGAGAAAAATAATTTTGCACTTCATGAGATACAAATAATGTTTTCTACTATGGGAAATAGTTTGAAAGACTTTCCGTTGATGCCAGTACCGGATTTAGAGAATCATGCTAGAACCACCAATCGGTTGATACAAGAGGAATTAGCATATGATATTAATGTCATGATGGAATAGAATGATAAATTGGTGCATCAACTCACCGAAGAACAAAGGGCTATATATGGAGAAGTATTGCAAGATGCTGAGAATAATCTGGGAGGCCTGTTTTTTGTTTATGGATATGGTGGAACGGGAAAAACATTCTTATGGAGAGCATTGTCTTCTGCTTTAAGGTCAAAGGGTGATATAGTTTTAAACGTGGCATCAAGTGGCATAGCATCTCTTCTACTACCAGGAGGTAGAACTGCGCATTCAAGATTTTCAATACCAATAGCTGTTAATGAAGATTCAACCTGCAACATCAGTCAAAGTAGTCCTTTGGCACAGTTGATAATGCAAAGTAAGTTGATCATTTGGGATGAGGCACCGATGATGCATAAGTTTTGCTTTGAAGCTTTAGACCGTACTATGAGAGATATCATGCGTGCTAAAAATCCAAAAAACTTGGATATGACTTTTGGTGGGAAAACCGTGGTGTTAGGTGGAGATTTCAGACAGATTCTACCAGTCATTCCAAAGGGCACTAGGCAAGATATTGTTGGAGCAAGTATAAATGCATCATATCTTTGGAGAAGCTGTAAAGTATTTAGGCTAACAAAGAATCTCAGGCTTAGGTCATTGTAATCAGATACTGAAGTTAAAGAGATTGAAAAATTTGCAAAGTGGATTGCTAATATAGGTGATGGAACAATTGGTGATTGTTTGCATGGAGAATGTGAGATAAATATTCCTGAAGAATTTGTGCTAATTTGTGTTGAGGATCCAATTTCTACAATTGTTGATAGATATTCCCTATGTTCTGCAGTGGTTAGAGTGATATTCAATACCTAAAAGATCGTGCTATTTTGGCACCAACTTTGGATATTGTGGATGCAGTAAATGAATACATGAATGACTATAATAATGCCGAAGGAAGGACGCATCTCAGTTGTGATTCGGTTTGTAAATCTGATTCAAATGTTGACATGCTTGCTGATCTGCACACTGCAGAATTTTTAAATGGTTTAAGGTGTTCAGGAGTTCCAAATCACTCATTGACTCTAAAAGTTGGCTCACCAGTTATGCTTCTGAGGAATATTGATCATTCATTGGGGTTGTGCAATGGTACAAGAATGATCATTTCAAAGTTGGCAGATCATGTTTTAGAAGCTCAAATACTATGCGCGGCAAGTGCCGGTACAAAGGTCTTAATTCCAATGATGTCCTTAACACCTTCTGATGCAAGATTGCCTTTTAAGTTCCAAAGGAAGCAATTTCCACTAATGTTGTCATATGCAATGATAATAAATAAAAGCCAAGGCCAGACACTATCCAACGTGGGTTTGTTTTTTAAGAGACCGGTTTTTAATCATGGTCAAATGCATGTAGCAGTGTCAAGAGTTAGTAATCCTAAGGGATTAAAAATTCTTATTTGGGATGAAACTGTAAAATCTAAAAATACGACTACAAATGTCGTATACAAAGAAGTATTCAATAATGTATAAAAAATTTTCATTTAGTTCACTATCCAATTATTTTTTTTTGATAATTATGTATACATATTGTCGTGCACCGCACGGGTGCAACTACTAGTAATATAATATAACCATAATTAAATATTCTTGTATTCTATATTCTTCTAGGATTTCTATTGCCATCATTAATTATTCCATAGTTTAGCATAATTAAATAAGTTGACCAATACAATGAGTTTGGGCGGGAAAATGCTAGAAAGAGGATTTTACTTCATTGGTCAATTTTTCAATCCACTCAAACTAAGTAAAGTCAAATTATATCATGGTCCAGGATTTACATTGTATTGTGGACCCTAATATAAAACAACATTTAATTTATATACATATGGTTAACATATTATATATATTCAGTTAATAGATTATTGCATCATTGAACTCTGTTGCCCATTTTGTTGGAGGAAACAACTGTTGGAACTGTATCATTTAACAACAAGATGTATCAATACTAGCTGGTTTGCCCGAGAGGTTAAGGGGGAAGACTTAAGATCTTCTGCACATAAGTGCGCATGGGTTCGAACCCCATAGCCAGCATGTTTATTTTGTAGCAAATGGATCGAGTCGGACTGACCCAAACAAGTCGGGTCAAGTCTGCCCATTGTAGCAATGGATCGAATCGGATCAAGACCGGTCCAAACAAGTCAGGTCATGACTGAACTTTCTGTAGTATAAAATGGATGGACTAACTCTAATTCGCCTATTGTAGCAAATAGACCGTACCGAATCGGATCGGCCCAAACAAACAAATTGGGCCTGCATTGAACTTTTAACTAACATGGACAAGAGCACCTCATGCCTGCTGCGGCCGAGACCTTCATTGCATTACTCTTCTCAACACATCCACAAAGCTTTCATAGTCATACCCGAACCAACCTTTCATATACATGTGGTTAACATATTATGTACATTTAGTTAAAAGATTATGTACTTATATAAATAAATTGCAGGTACATAATATTTTAACTGCATGTGCATAATATGTTAATTGTAGTAGTTATAATAGGTACATAATTAATTCATTGCATATACATAATATGCTAAATGTATATACATAATATATTAATTGTAGTAGGTACATAATTTATTAACTAAATGTAGATAATATGTTAACTACAAGTATATCATTTGAAAGTCGTTTTGAACCAAAGTCTACAATGGAAGGTAGATCATGGCCCATGAAATAACAATTGCACTCAAGGATGGTCCTAGCCATGTGTGACTAGGGCAACGACACATGCTCCAACTTTTAGGGGCTCAATTTTTTTTTTTTTTTAATAAATTGGACTCCCCCTCAAGCACAAGGTACAGTAGTGACTTGTAGCTTGTCTCAAAGAAAAGAAAGTTTAGGGCCAAGTAGAGCTTTAGTAAATATATCTGCCAGTTGATCCTTAGTCGAAATAAAATTGACCTGTATATCTCCATTTGCAACTCTGTCTCTAACAAATTGATAATCAATTTCTACATGCTTAGTCCGAGCATGAAAAATAGGATTTTCACACATGTATGTAGAACCAAGATTATCACACCACAACTTGGGAGTAGACACACCTGTCACGCCAACTTCACGCAGTAGAGAGAGAATCCAAATTACCTAAGCACAGACATCTGCTAGAGTTTTATATTCAGCCTCACTAGATGATCTAGCTCACTAGATGATCTAGCAACAGTTCTTTGTTTCTTACATACCCATGATATAAGATTGGTACCAAGAAAAACAACATAACCACTAGTTGACTTACGATCCTCAGGACAGCCAGCCCAATCAGAACCAAAAAAATTGTTAATTGCCATAATAATTATGGAAAATGACCTTGTTTGATTATTGAAAAATTCTCAAAAATTTTAACAAATTCTCCATTTTAACATTTTTTCTTTAATCAAAACAACAAAAATAAACTCAGCAATTTGCTCCGAACAGCTAAAAACTAAAACAACACATATACATTTTGAGTTAATATTTCCCAAACACCCCTAATAAATAAGTTTTTTCTTAAAAAAAAAAAACTAAAATAAAAAGTTATTAAACTAAGACTTCTTAAATAAGAATCTTTTGGCTTCTCAATACGTGTCCATATTAATGGGCAAGCAATTATGTTTGGAAGGGGAGCATTGTTCCTCTTAGGGGTGGGCGTTTCGGGTTTCGGTTTGGTTTTTTCCGGTTTCGGTGTTTCGGTTTTAAAAAAGTTAAACCATTCGGTTTAACATTAAGGTTCGGTTCGGCTTAGGTTCGGTTTGAAACGGTTCGGTTTCGGTTCGGTTTAAGATCCCCAAATTTCAACATTTCCTAATTTTTCGAACATACTACCAAACAATACATATTTACATAATCCAAATTCAAACTCTAAACATTATATAACAAAATAGCAATCCAAAGTTCAAACACAATACTAAGTACTAATTACCAAACATCAGTTAACGTTTTTGCACAACCGACTCTTCAGTTGGAATATTTTTATTGATAAGATGAATAATCATCTATCTGTATAGTTGATATTAAAAGAACAAATGTCAATTACTATATAGTTAATTTTTGGACACAATCTGTCATTGCTAGTGCACTCGAAATATATTCCAGTACTAGAAAATAATTATAGTGCACTGTAAATCAAAATTAGAATGACTGTAAAGCACATTAAATTTATAGAAAAACATGAAACTAAGAAAAATACTGAATATTGTAAATATAACTCAAGTTAGATATAATTGTGAGGTAAAGAACAATTGCGACAAACAACAAAAGTGCAATGTAAAAAACAAGCTATAAAGAAATCAAATAAAAAATTTAAGGTTCGGTACCCGTAAGAATGAGAACTGAACGGCGGAGCAAGCATCAAAGAACTTGAATTTACTTCTTTATTATTATTATTATTATTATTATTATTATTATTATTATTATTATATTATTATTATTATTATTATTATTATTATTATTATTATTATTATTATTATTATTATTATTATTATTATTATTATTATCATTATTATTATTTATTAAAAAAATTATATAGCATTCGGTTAGGTACTAAACCATTCGGGTTACAAAATCACGAACCGTTCAGTTTAGTTCGGTTCGGTTTGGATAAACCGAACTGAAGTGCCCACCCCTAGTTCCTCTTATATAGAGGAGCTCAAGAACTCATCTTTCCAAACATTTTTGATGTGGGATCAAACATCATTTCCAAAGACGGGTTCCCCTTTGTCTCTTTTTTTTTTTTTTTTTTTTTTTTTTTTTTTTTTTTTTTTTAGTTTATGTTTTTAAATTTTAATTTCATTTTGTATATAATTTTGTTTTAATTATTATTATATGAATAATATTATTATTGTAATTCTATTTTATTATTACATAATGACATAATAATAATAATAATAATAATAATAATAATAATAATAATAATAATAATAATAATAATAATAATAATAATATAAATTTTCTTTTAGTATATAATGACGGTGAGCACAATAATAATATAACCATAACTAAATATTCTTGTATTATATTCCGTGAGGCACAGTAATATAATATAACATGATTAAATATTCTTGTATTCTATATTCTTCTAGGATTTCTATTACCATCATTAATTATTTCATAGTTTAGCATAATTAAATAAGTTGACCAATACAATGAGTTTGGGCGGGAAAATGCTAGAAGGAGGATTTTACTTTTAATTGCAGACGACATTGGTAGTGACAACACAATCTTATTCATCTTCGTCTAGAGCTAACACCTTCAATCCATCAGGACAGGTTACTTGGGTTTAAATATATAATGGTAGAATATTACTCAATTAGTTATCCTTTTATATTTTCAGTCAATTAGTGATATCAAATTAATTTTCAGCCAATTATTCTTTTTTATTTTCAGTCAATTAGTCAATAAGAATATCAAATGCAGTGATATTTTTACCTAATTATCGTTCCATTTTTAATTGATGATGTTGATATTATTATTGAAATATTTCCGTTCCATTTTCAATTTACCTTTACTATTGTTTAAAATATGCATTTACTATTGATAATGTAGAATATTATTATTGAAATATTTTCCTCCAATTTTTAATTTTCATTCCATTTTTAATTAAAATGCAATGATCTGACCATTTTTTTTATTTTAGTCAATTATGGATCATTTTTTATTTGCAGGCAATTATTAATATTTATTTCCTTTTATATTTTTAGTCAATTAGTAATATTAGATTCATTTTCAGTCATTTTTTTTTCAGTCCATTATAATATAGATGTCGTGATTTTTTACCTAATTTATGTTACATTTAATTTGATGATGTAGAATATTATTAATGAAATATTTTTGTTCCATTTTTAATTTACATTTACTATTTTTTAAAATATGCCTTTACTACTTGATGATGTAAAATATTATTATTGAAATATTTTCTTTCCATTTTTAATTTTCCTTTACTTCTAAACAAAAAAAATAAAATAAAATTGGACATCTCACTACTTGCCCACATTGATGGGCAAGAAATTATGTTTGTAAACATTTTGAATAGCTCATCTTTCCAAACATTTTCAATGTAAGATCAAAATGATCCCACATCATTTACAAAGGGAGCTGGTGGCTCGCCTTTGTCTTTAATAGGTGGAAAATACTAATTCAAAAGGAAAATATAATAATATAGACTGCAAATGAAAGTATAATTTGTATTTATAGGTGGAAAATACTTTTTTTTTTTTGATCAGTGAAGAGGGGGATACCCATCTAAGAAACTAGATAACAGTAACAGATCGTTGTTGTGATATTCGTCTGATCGACGAAGCTCCCATCCTGTCAAGGGCAACCAACTCCTCAATCTCCCTCGGTGGAAAATCGAGTAAGTGATAGCCAAACTGATGCATCGCCGCCCACTTCGCCAGCTTGTCAGCGAGTTGATTCTATTCTCTGTAAATATGCATAATTTTCACTTCTGTGAACCTCTTCGTTTCTTTAACACACCGACGAACAATATTATTGTGTTGAATCTGCCCGTCATCACCTGCCCTTAGCTCCTCCACTAACAACTTTGAATCGCATTCAAGGATTATTCGTCGCGCACCGTAATCCTTAGCCATGCGCAAGCCTTGTAGGATGCCCCACGCTTCCGCCACTGCATTCGAACATCTACCAATTTTGTAGATGAAGCCTCTATGCCAGTTACCATGATTATCCCGAAGGACACCTCCGCAGCTTGCCTGGCCGTCACTCTTGCAACTGCCATCCGTATTTAATTTTAACCATCCCTCGTCTGGTTTATCCCACGTCAAAGTGGCTTCGTCTCCCCGAATATGCCTCGGCATCGGCCATCTTCTCCCTTTAAAAGCCGCAGCTATCTCACCATCGCATCTCCGTAGCCAGTCCACTTTCTGGTCGAATGGCAAAAAGGTGCCATTAAAAAACCGCCTCGTTTCGCAATTTCCACAGCCACCAAAGTCTTGACTCCAAACCGCTCTGGCCATCCGTCCCCAAAATCTTGCTTACAATCCCCCTGCAGGTTCATCGTAAGCCAGCTTTCCCAGTCGAGGTTGCGCATGGCCTCCTCCGTTCGTCGCTGTAGAGACTGTTTCCAAATACGGTTCGTGGCGTCACAGCGTCTAAATAGGTGATCCAAGTCTTCTCGTTGTCCCGCACAAATATAACAACATTCATTAGAAGTGATGTGTCTCCTAGTGCATTCATAATTTGTTAAGATTCTCCCATGCATAACCAGCCAGATAAACATCGAGATTCTTGCCGGAACTCTTAACGCCCAAATAAGACCCCAAACTTTGTCAACTTCCTGTCTTACAGAAGTATCCACCCACCCATACGCTGATTTAATCAAGAAATACCCCCGAGGATTTGGACTCCAGCCCCACCCGTCTGGAATGTTCTCATCCGCTAGGCAGAAATCGGCGAGGCGCTCCATTTCTTCAGTGGGAAGAGATCTCTGTAACTTCTCCCATTTCCAGCCTCTTACCTTGTCCCAGTAATCTTCCACGTTCGTGTAAAGATCTGGGAGGCTCAGGGTGCCACATAACTTTTCATATAGTGGTTTTGGTGTAAGCCAGGGGTCCATCCAGAAACGAGTCGATTTCCCATTGCGAACATCATGCGTGAGCCCACTCTCTAAGGTTTCTCTAGCCGCGCTTATCCCTTTCCAGGCGTTGGAAGTATTTCTTCTACGTGTGGTGTCCAGGTGTGAGCCAGAGCTATGGTGATATTTCATAATAAGCGTTTTTGCCCAGAGCGCATTAGGTTCCGTTTTTAGCCTCCAGCAAAGCTTCATCATACAAGCTTCATTCATGGTCTGCAATTTCCTCAAGCCCAAGCCTCCACATGTTTTATCCGTAGTGATTGTGTCCCAGGCCACCAGACTCATCTTGTTGCTCCCGGATTGTTCATCGCGGCCCCATATGAAACGCCTGGTCCTTTTCTCAATCTCCGAGCAGACACCCTTAGGGAGGGCTGCCGTTTGCATATTGTAAATCGGGATGGCGTTCAGTACCGATTTTGCCAAAGTGACACGCCCGGCTAGCGAGAGAGTCTTTGCTTTCCATCCTTCCAGTCTGGCAGAAATCCGATCTAAAAGGCCTGCATAAGTATTGCATGTTACCCGGCCATGCACAGAAGGCACACCAAGATATCTCCCCAGATCTTTTGTTTCTGCGATACCCAACTTTGCGGCTATTTCTTAGGCCTGAACTGCTTGTGTGTTGCGGATATATTTGTGTGTGTGTGTGTGTGTGTGTATATACATATACACACACACACACACAAACATATATATATATATATATATATATATATATATATATATATATATATATATATATATATATATATATATACATATACATATATATACATTGAGTTCAACCTAATCCACATGTTGTTCATTGTTTAATAGTCATTTTTCAGTAAACGTATTCGACTAACAAATACCCACATGTATACTTCTCATACTAACAAGTACACAAATTTAGCTCTTTACTTGTCCACACACACACACACACACACACACACACAAACATATATATATATATATATATATATATATATATATATATATATATATATATATATATATATATATATATATATATATATATATATATATATACATTGAGTTCAACCTAATCCACATGTTGTTCATTGTTTAATAGTCATTTTTCAGTAAACGTATTCGACTAACAAATACCCACATGTATACTTCTCATACTAACAAGTACACAAATTTAGCTCTTTACTTGTCCATAATGTAGCACTCTTAGTTCCTATTCTTATATAATTGTCAAACTTCATTAAATATATGTTTATTTTTTTACATTTAGAATCAATTTTTACGTTAAAAACGACATTCGCATGGAGAGAATAAAACTTTAACAATTGATGTTGATTTTAAATGACAAAATAAGCACATAAAACTGTTTATAAATGGAGTTTAATAATTATATAATATTAGGGACTGAAAGTGCAACATAATAGATTATTAAGCTAAGGGACTAAATTTGTTTAAATCAATTAACATAGACCAAATTTCTAAAAGTGAAGCAATTCATGGACTAAAAATGTTATTTTTCCTATATTTTATGGTCAATTAGAGCTCTCTAGATTAAACTTCTTGTTTCTTGTTAGCTTCCAAAAAAAACATTCCTAAGCTAATGTTTGAAACGTTTTTGTTGAAAAGCATAAAGATTCTTATGCTTATAAACCCACCCAAATCAAGTTCCTTCCCTACGGATATTTTAAGTTATAGGGATTGCCAAGCTTTGAAAAAAAATGAGAGAGAATGATTTAACTCAATAAAATTTTTATTTATTATTATTTTAGAAGTCAATAATTTTACCTAATAAATAAAACATAATTGTTAAAAAAAAAAAAAAAAACTTTAGAAAGTTAAAGATAGATGGAAGTAAATTTGAAAAAAATAAAATTGTTAAAACTCTTTTTCCTATAGTTTTCACCCTATGTTCCTAATTACTCCACAAGAACCAGATTTATGTATGACAACTGAGATGCATTAAAGTACCGTCATTGTGTTTATGCAATAAGATTGTGACTTTGAAGATGGAATTGTGTACTTTTGGAGCCTTGCTTTGTTACTGATAAATATACTAATATCCAAACAAAAGTCAACAAATCAGAGTGGCGCAGCGGAAGTGTGGTGGGCCTATAACCCACAGGTTCCAGGATCGAAACCTGGCTTTGATATGAGTGGCTTTTGAAATGTTTTTGCTTGCTTTGTCTGATGTCTGACGATGACAGAAACGAAAATAAAAGAATTATGGGGAAGGCATTTTCCACATTGGGGATGTAGCTCAAATGGTAAAGTGCTTGCTTTGCATGCGAGAGGCATGGGGTTTGATCCCTCGCATCTCCAAAGTTAAGTTGTTGATGTTGTGATCTGATTTCTGTTGAGTTTTGAGATGTGTTACTTTATTGTCAAGATTTTCCCAGGATTGCATAATATTTATTAATGTTATAAATATATTCAATGAACATTTATTTGTAATGGACATAACGGATGATTTTATCATTATGTTTATTTATGTCCTTTTGTATTAGTATGGAAGTGTATGTATTTCATGTATCAGATAGCATATGATGAACACACAGATGAATACAAGAGATGATTCTCCCTTTCTCTCTTTCTCCCTTATCTCTCTATTATGATTTTACTTTTAACACGTTATCAGCCCTTTTGCTCTACATACTTGATGAACCATTGATGAAACAGAGTCGTCCGATCATCCTCATGTTTGAGCGATCACCATCGGAAGGCAGACGAAGGTTCTGATGAATAGGATCTGCCATGTTTTGGCACCAACAGGATTCTGGTGAGCCGGAGTGTTAGACGCAGAGCACCACGTCGATCATTGTTGTCACCTTCACCTCCACCGTTAGGTCACCAAAGTAACAGGTTCTCGTCTGTGTTTGTGCCTGTGCGACGCTAATCATCGAAGCAACCTTCTGATCTGGAGTCATACGCACTACCACTGAAGCAACCTTCTAATCGGAAGAATGGATGAAATCCCGTAGACCCAAAATCGAGCCTAGGTTCTGTTCGAGATCCAGTGCGCCAAAAAAACTCAGGCTGCACACCACCATCTTGAAAATTTTCTGGCAGCCGATCCTCAATCTGGCCACCGTCGAGTGATCGTAGGGGAGAGGAGACCCCAACCATTTCATCAGTTCCATGATTAGACTTCCGGATCGCCGCCACAACCATCATCGACGAAGCCCTAGCCAAATCGCAAGAATACTGTCGATCATCTCCCTGCTGATGGCGATCAACCTGAGACCCCGGACGAAGGCTTGCGCGACGGAGACGAACCTGAGCGCCGGTATTCCGTCCGCTGGCCAAGGATAAAATAGCCGAAGTTTTTTTTTGTGTTTAAAAAAAAAAAAAGAACGCCAATTTTCTCCGCATTGGCTTCGTCTCCTCTTTGCTTTCAATTCCTGCCGGAGGTGCATGTGGAGGCTATGTTGTCTGTTCCTGACCATTTTATTCGCACTACTCGGTTTTTTTTGGAATTGTCACCACCGGTGTGGGAGGACGGCTGGGCCGAGATTCATTGTTCTCCGATCGTGAAAAATTTCGGTCGCTTAGACTTCATGACAGTTGCGTGCTGTGGCAACATAACGGTGCAATTGCAAACCAGGTTCCTTCTCTTTAATTCCACCAACTCTTGATGCTAGCCATAATTGTCCTGATCTAGTGATGACTAATTGAATCTATGCATATCGTTAATGATTTGAATGTTATAGTTTCCTGGTGCAATTTTTTTGTCAATGCTTGATACTGCTTGTTGCTTGGGAATGGTGCAACCGAATGTTATAATTTTGAACAATTAAAATAATATAGTTATTGTGCATTATGTTATTTAATTGGTGGTTCAAAATATGATGTGAATTCTTAATGACATTTTTTTTTCAAAATACTTTGAAAGAGATTTGTTGCTCCTAATGCCTAAGTGAATGCATTTACATACTAAGTAGACAGTTAATGTATAGAATTGCCAAACTGATGTAGTTATGTGTAGCATAATGCAGTGAATGTGCTGCACCACGACATGTGAATATGTTAGTTGGTCATGAAGATATGTATCAAAAGGTGCAACTCATCCATAAATCATGTATATCTTGCTGCTATGTTTATATGTATGCTTGAAGTGGGCACACTATTCTCTACTTCCTAAACATATGACTTGTCAATAGCCTTGTATATATGCATTTATGAATTTATTTGTCACCACTGTGTCAAACTGATTGGAATACATTTATATGAATATGAAGGATGTTGTCACAATCCATTGATTAGTCTTGTATGCATGTGTGTTTACACTATTTTGAGTAACGACGCGAACCTCCCCGGCCTTGTTGGACGTCTGCGGGGAAAATTAAGCTTTGGCTTGTAAGCCCAAGATTATAGATATTTGATCTAAAATGATCTATAGATCCTAAGTTAATCCCTGAAGGATATTTGATGTATACGGGTATCATTGTCATCTATGATGATCATATTGTACTTCAGTAATAGTACATAGAAAAATTATACTAAGTATTTTTAGTTTTTTTTTTTTTTTTTTTTTTTTTGCGAAAATATGTTATCTAAATTAATTGACTCGCATCATGTTGGTTTGCCTGAAGCAAAACAAATTGTGAATATTTTTTTCATAGTAATCACTGCCTGAAAATTCCACACCTTGGATTGACATGAAAATTTTTATGTACTTTTTAGACTTACTGAACTACATATCTGCCAAATTTTCTGTCAAAATGTGTTACCGTTTCCCCCCAGAAAATTCTGCAATCCAGGTCAAAATTCTGAAAATTTTCTGCCATTTTCAGCTTGTATATCTTGCTATTTTGTGATGTTTTCATGCTGATATGAAACTATGAAATAAAATGAGAGCTTGCTTGGAAAAGTGCTATTTTGACTCCCCGAAATAGGAATGAATGGGCCCGGCAGCGAACATGTGCTCATTATTCTTCGGCGAACGGTACTTCTCTCATTTTTCTAATTTATGAATTAAGAAACAATATCTCTTGTCATGTCATGCCTTGTGTGTACCAAACATGATACTCTTTATTTAATGGATGTGCATGACTCAATTGAGAGTTTGGTGTCCAAGACATAAGGGACAATTATATCACATGTTGCATGTGCTTCTCTTTAATTGACAACATTTAGCATATAATCTCTTGATTATGTTCACATAAGAGATTTTGTTATTTATCTTGTTGGCAATTTATGATTTGCTATAGGCCATAGCTATTGAAATTCATCACACAACTTATAAGTGAGGCAATAGCATGAATTCTCAATATGGTTAGGTTGCACCTGTCGTTGCTAAACCTTAGCTTGCATGTGATAATAGTTAAAGGCTATGACTTGTTTACAAAGCTAGTTTCTGCTATAAAAACTCTTTGACATGAGATTTGGGCATATGATATTTAAATTTATAGCCCTCATTTTTTTGTATATTTATTTGCCCAGAAGGTAGATTAAGGATTTTAATTCTCTAAGTCATCCCCATTCTTTTAGGATGAATCTTGACAATGAATTCTTGACCAAAAATGGTCAACCTATCCCATCAATCCCCGAAGGATTGCTTGACGTTACTATGAGTCAAGTTTTTTTTTACTAAGTCTAACTCACTGCAGATCACAAATCAATCCCTCAAGGATTGCTATACCCCCTTTTTCACCTAGTACGTGGTTTCAGAAGTAACATTTCCCTATCTGCGTTATTTTATTTGCGCAGTCTATTTTATATCACCACCACAACGTACCTCTAAAAGGGCTATCAAAAAAATCTCCGTCTATTGATTAAATATCGAAAGCCCATGATAGGGGATCAATGCATATAATTGGGTACGTTGACTGCATTCCTAATGAAGATTGTTTCTCGGCATTAGGGGGAGATAATATGCTACTCCGTAACTTTTAATGGAATGCCAAGAAATTTCATAAGAATAAAAACATCTTCATTTTTAAATCCATGTACTAGTTAGATTGAACTGGAAGTTCAAAAGATAATCTATTTGCGATTTTAGCAAAAAAATCTGCCAAATACATCTATTGATCATAATGATCATAAAAGAAGTGACTAGGTCCTATATCCTTGGACCAAACATATTTATCGATACTCCTCTACACTAGAAGTGTAGGAGATCTATCGGCGAAAGAGATATGGATCGTAATACTAGATCTAGTAAAGAAATATTGTCACTCTTGAAATAGCTTGAATAATTATGTCCTGTAGACATTCGTCCAGATGAAGAAAAACCCTGGTAAGACTTATAGGTGCACCAAACAAACGTAATACTAGGGATGCGGAACGACCAGATCAAAATATCTTTGGGAAATGTCTAGAATCTGGTTGTTTTAGAAATTGCCATTACTTTTACAAATATGGGAGTTTTACAAAAAATGTTATAGTTGTCGACAACACAATTGCCATTACAAATTGCTCGTTATATGATAATCTGGATCCAGAGTTAGGCACCAGAAGTGTCATGACTATTTAATATATAAAGGATCAATTAAGGCATAACTCGACTCGCTAAAATGAATAAATTCTCTTTATAACAATACACCATTTGAGCGTTAACCCTGAAGGTTACAAATAGGTGTGTGCGTGAAAGAGAAATAAGAATAATGAGGTGATGAAGCGAGTTTGTAGCCTATGGGTTCACGCAGAGACCCTTAATTGTTTTTAATCAAATATACTCTCCCACGGTAAATGGCATTAAGTTCCGCTACATAATACAATTGGCAGAATAATAAATTTAGATATGCAATTAAATTTATTTTGAGAAATCCCTGATGGATTTATAACTCCCGAAATGAGAATTTATGTGTCATTATTTACTCTTTAAAGGGTTGCGAATGGAGTTAATATCCTCATTGAAGGAATAATATGTACCATTGTGTGCTCGATAAAGGGTTGCTAATGAACTTATTCATTATTTATTATCTCAGTCAAGATTGATGGTGTAAACATCAATGACATATATAAAGAGCTTGATAATGCCAGTTCATGTTTAAAGACTGAGACTTTTTGAAATAAAAAGCTTGTGAAAGCTATAAGTATTATCTCGACTTGAAGATCGAGTTTTTCTTTGAAGATCTTTTTTATATATACACCAGTCAGCCTACATCTAAAAATGCTTTTTCACATGCATATAAGTGTCATGTTTTTATCAAACTAAATGTTGCCTAATAATCTCTTGAAGCAGATAAGGAACCTTTTTGGACTCAAAGTCCGTTACTTCATTATCGTTAGAGCATCATTGTAGAACCAGAAGTTCTATAATCGCAACATATTTGCGATGAAATTGCTAGCAAAATCTAGTGCTCCTCCTACAAATGAAGTACTTGAATAATGATTAACATATCCTCCGGTATCTTCGAGATACAAAGACATGACTTTTATGTAAGAAACCATGATACGATTTTAATAGGCTACTTGGGTACTGGCTGTTTTGTTTGATCCCCGCAATGCCAAGTCCAAACTGGTTATACAATGAATTTCTCTAAATGTTCAAAATGAGGACAATAACACTTGTGTTGCACAAATGTTATATGAGCTCTAGAAGAGACATAAGATTATTGTACACTACTCTAGTGACAATTCAGAAGATTTGTCCAATCCATCCCTTCAAATTTTGAAATATATGTAGAACTTGAAGATTGTTATCTTCAGGGGGAGACGGGAAGTACATTTACTCGAATCAATCCGGAAGATTGAAGTAAAATCCTGAAGATTAAGTCATAAAAGACTAACAGTTGCGCACTATTTGCAACACAACGGGAAGTACATTTACTTGAATCAATCCGGAAGATTGAACGTAAAATCCTGAAGATTAAGTCATAAAAGACTAACGGTTGCGCATTATTTGCAACACATCAATGCATAAATATCATGTACTCTTTTCCTCACTAGTTTTCTCCCATTGGGTTTTCTAGTGTGGTTTTTAATGAGGCATGAGTATGATATTAATGATGTAAATGGGAAAATATTGCAAAATAAGTGCTTAAATGGACAAACCCCAGAATCCTGAAGATTATGCAGTTTGCGCCCTGAAGGCTTATGGTTGTACTCTTTTTCCCTTAACTAAGTTTTTCCCACAGGGTTTTCTTAAGTTAAGGTTTTTAATGAGGCGACAAATACAATATATGTTTTTACATATATCATGTACTCTTTTCTTCAACTAGGTTTTTCCCACATGGTTTTCCTAGTGAAGTTTTTAATGAGGCATGAATATATATTTTATTGTACTCTTTTCTTGTCTAGGTTTTTCCCACAGGGTTTTCCTAGCAAGTTTTTAACGAGGCAAGATCATGGTCAAATAATGTCCAAGGGGGAGTGTTATAAATATATTCAATGGACATTTATTTGTAATGGACATAACGGATGATTTTATGGCTCATTATGTTTATTTATGTCCTTTTGTATTAGTTATATATGGAAGTGTATGTATTTCATGTATCAGATAGCATATGATGAACACACAGATGAATACAAGAGATGATTCTCCCTTTCTCTCTTTCTCCCTTATCTCTCTATTATGATTTTACTTTTAACAATTAAGAATTAAGAATTTTTATACCGTAACATTTATTTTCCTTTAAAAAATAAATGATTTAGTTATTCTAAAAAAAATATTTATATTTAATAATTATTTTAAAAAATGAGTTTTCTTTTGTGCATTTAGTTTATACTTCATTAGTTTTAATTTATTTATAAGATAGAAATAGTAAGTATTTACAATGACAACCCAAAAGTATATGTGAGTTAAGTTTTCAAAATTGACACTTATCATGTGTGTGGGAGAGAGGCAAAGAATAATTTTTTATTACAAATGGGAATCTAACAGTGGATATAGTAATCTTTGACCATATATGCCCTTCTTAACTTTGAGGAGTTAATACCAGTTGGAGTCCTCAGAGTTTAAACCAGTTGGAGTCTAGCAATATAAATTATAATTAGAAAAATTATATTATAAAGTTTGCCTAAATACATTTTAATAAATTTATATGCATATACAATGTATTATACAATCATATAAGGAATTTTGTCAAATTAGAGTTTAAATTTTACTCATACAAAATTTAAATTTATTTTTTTTTTAAATTTCTTAATAAAATTATCTTAGTTAGTATTCATATTGTTTGAATTATAATATATAAATACAATTAGGAATGAATATGTTTAATTTTGTAAATTTTTTCTATAAATTTATCTAAATATGTAAACGATTAGAGACTATATTAACCCTACGAAATTTTAATTTTAATTTTGTAAGCTATGAAAATATATACTTGACCAAATATATGAAACTCCAACTATATTATTATATTGTAAATTTTAACATCTTTTCATTTTTTTTCTAATTCTTTATTTAAATTCATACTAATATATTTTTGTTCGTGCATCGCACGGGTAAAATACTAGTTTATAAACAAAAGTTTACAATATCATCAAAGTAAATTATAAAGCAAAACTTGGATATCAATGCAAAAAAACAATTTTAAAATAGGAATGTTTTTTGCATACAAGGAAAAACATGATATTATATTTATCTATATTTATATAATACAAAAGCATTATTAATATTTTTTCTATCAATTTATGTAGACATATATTATATTTATATTATTTTATACGCTATGAAAATATGTACATTTTTTAAAAATATATATTTGTGATTACTGTTATAATTATACAGATTGAACACATTTTATTACTATTTTCTTTTTAATGCGAACTAGTATTTTTCCCCGTGCGATGCACAAAATGGATTTGTTGTAATATATTAAGAATATTTGAATCGATATATAATTATTTAAATTAGAACATCAAATATTATATCGTGCAATTAAAGATATGGTTTGGATCATTTATGTATTTTGATGTTATTATTGCTTGAATTTGTGCAAATAATTGCTCAAATTAATAGTTTATGTCTAGATGTACGCATGCGGTGCTATAACTTTGAACATTTTATTTTTCATTGTTTTGTATTTTCATAAATTAGTCAAATTTGCTCGTTCTCTAACGACTAAGTCATAGGAATGAATTGCTATCATAATTCATTTGTATGGAATATATATTTCTTGTCTAGATATATAGCAATTTTTCCATTTAAACAAAAAAAATAATATTATCGATTATATTTACACATTATTGAAACCTCTTTTGTAGACGGCATTGGTAGTGGCAACACAATCCTGTACATCCTCGTCTAGAGCTAACACCTTCAGTCCATCAGGATGGGTTACTCGGGTGAAAATATATAATGGTAGAATATCACTCAATTAGTGATCCTTTTATATTTTCAGTCAATTAGTAATATCAGATTTATTTTCAGTCAATTATCCTTTTTTTTTATTATTATCAATCAATTAGTCAATTAGAATATCAAATGATGTGATATTTTTACCTAATTTTCATTCCATTTTTAATTGATGATGTAAATATTATTATTGAAATATTTTCGTTCCATTTTTAATTTACATTTACTATTGTTTAAAATATACAATTACTATTGATGATGTAGAGTATTATTATTGAAATATTTTAGTCCAATTTTTAATTTCCGTTCCATTTTTAATTAAAATGCAATGATCTCACCATTTTTTTTTATTTTAGTCAATTATGGATCATTTCTATTTGCAGTCAATTATTAATATTCATTTCCTTTTATATTTTTAGTCAATTAGTAATATTAAATTCATTTTTAGCCAATTATTCTTTTTTATTTTCAGACAATTAGTCAATTAGAATATAGATGCAATGATATTTTTACCTAATTTTCGTTCCATTTTTATTTGATGACTAGTTTTTTAGGTGCATTGCGCGATTGAGATAATACCAAATGTTTTTCTTAAATAAGTATTTTAAAGTATATCAAGGCAAGATTATATTGGAATTGTTCATGTATAGATAATTGATTGTTGAATTTGCGTATTTAAATTGGTAATTCTAAGTTTACAAATGCAAAATAATATAGTCATGATTGATTATAATTGTCAATAAAATAATTGTATGGGTATGGTTGAAACCAAATACGGGATATAAGGGAGAGCAAATAAAAATTACGTTCAGCCAAATACAGAATATTATTATTGAAATATTTCTGTTTCATTTTTAATTAACATTCCATTTTTAATTTACCTTTACTATTTTTAAAATATACATTTACTATTGATGATGTAAAATATTATTATTGAAATATTTCTTTTCCATTTTTAATTTTACTTTACTTGATGATGTAGAATATCATTATTGAAACATTTTCGTTCTATTTTTAACTTCCGTTCCATTGTTTGAAATTATGAAAAATTTATGATATAATTGTGATTTGATTTATTATATTGTGTAATATTATTGTAAAAAATTAAAATGCAATAATTTGACCATTTCTTTTTCCATTTTAGTCAATTTTGGATGTTTTTTCAATCAATTATTAATATTCATTTCATTTTTCAATTAACCTAATTTTCATTTATTTTTTCATTTTTAATTTTCAGTCAATTATTAATATTCATTTCAGTTTCCAATTTACATAATTCTTTTTATATTTTTAATTGATGATGTAGAATATTATTGTCACATATTTCTATTCCATTTCTAGTTTATGTTCTTTTTTTTTTTTAATTATCTTTACTATTTACTATTGTTTGGGCAGGAAATTAAGTAAATAGGATTTTTTTTAATTATAGTATAGATATAGATATATATATAGATTATTTATTTATTTATTTATTTATTTAATTATTTATTTATTATTATTATTATTATTATTAAGTTAATTCTGTTTCCTTTTCCATTTTTCCTTTTTTTTTTTTTTTTTTTTTTTTTTTTTTTTTGTTTTGGAAGAAGTGTTTGAGCAAGAATGAAAGAAAGAATTTAGTTTTAATAATAAGTATAGATAGATTATTAGCTTAGTTATCATAATAATTATTAGTCAATTATACAAAAGGTGGGTTTGGAAACCCAAAAAATGATTCCAGAAATTATTTTCTGGGTTTTCAGTGTTTTGCTTGAGAGGAGAATTTTCTGGAAAATGACTTTTCCTTTTTTTTTTTTTTTTGAGGAAGTCATTTTCCGTTTTCAGTAGTGGAGCAGCCAATCACCCACTGCCGTCCACCACCACTGAATACAGCCAAAACTTATATTGCATGGAATTTAAAATAAAAGTTGTTATATTATAAACAAAACAATAAAAATGTTTTTTTATATATATAACAATTAAAATGTTTAAGTATACAATTTTACTCATTTTCTGAAAAATGAACCAAATACAAAGACAGTTTCAGAAAAATGACTCAAATACACACAAAGACAGTTTTCCAAATACACACAAAGACAGTTTTCCAAATACACAAAGACATTTACTAAAATTTTTTGATGTGCAGCCAAACATTTAAAAGAAAAATGTTTTCTGAAAAATAACTCATTTTCAGAAATCATTTTCCTACTTTCCAAACGAACTTTAATATCTGTACAATTAATTTGTTAATTTCCCTTTCAAAATAAAAAATTGTTAATTGCCATAATAATTATGGAAAATGACCGTGTTTGATTATTGACAAATTCTCAAAAATTTTAACAAATTCTCCATTTTAACATTTTGTCTTTAATCAAAACACCAAAATAAACTCAACAATTTGCTCCGAACAGCTAAAAACTAAAACAACACATATACATTTTGGGTTAATATTTCCCAAACACCCCTAATAATAAATAAGTTTTTTCTTAAAAAAAAAAACTAAAATAAAAAGTCATTAAACTAAGACTTTTTAAATAAGAGCCTTTTGGCTTCTCAATAAGTGCCTAAAATATATTTCTTATCTACTGTCTACCTCTCAATAAGTGCCTGAAATATAAATGTTACCTGTAGGTTAACTGCATCAAAAAGCCCTTTACGCAGTATCAGCACTGCAACTGTGTTGTCTCAATCCACAGGCATTGATGACTTCACCAGTGGTGCTTTGACTATCACTCCAGTAGCTGATCTGTTGAAAAAGAAGCAGGTTAGACTCTAAACTGTTATAAATCCTTAATACAGTCCACAAAACTCATTATACATTTAATAAGACAGAGTAACCAAGTTACATTTTCTATGGTAGAATGGGGAGTTCTATACACCTGCTGAAATTGTGGCCATTGAAGGCTCTTTTGGATGGATGTACATCTCATGCATGTCACCAGGATGTAACAGAAAGCTTTCTGGACAATTAGGTGATCTGATTTGTACACACTGTGATAAGAAGTATCAAGAGGGCATGGCAAGGTATCAGGTCAAAGTTATTGTTCTAGATAAAGGTCTACGAGATGCTCCATTCCTTTTATGGGATAGAGAGTGTTCTGAATTAGTTGGTATCCCAGCACACAGTTTGTACACGAAGTATAATAAGGTAAAGTATCAGTACTGTAAAATTTAACACTTCATATGAACTGTGTTTGTCTTTTTTTTTTTTTTTTTTAAGTATGCTATTTTCTTTATTTTAGGTTCCTGACATTCCAAGAGAATTGGAATCCTTAGTTGGTCTAAGAATGATATTTAAGATATCATTAAAAATGGAGTTCATGAAGAGAGCTAATTCAGCCTACACTGTGATGAGAGTTCTAAGGGATGAAGTCTTAGTGTCAGCATACTGTTCTAAACTTATTGAAGACCAAGAGAAGGACTTGATGACAAAAATGATAGATGAGGATGGGGATGAAGATGAGGAATCTGATCAGGTTGTTATTTTTAATAAAGTAAAATAAATATTTACATTTTTAAGTCTATGTTTGACATGTTTTGGACTAAATCAACTTTTAATATACAGGAGGCTTCTAATGGAGACAATGAGGTCAACAGTCCATTAAGTATACAGCAGTCTCAAAGTCTAGACATTGAACCTGAAGATCCTAATGGTGTCAAGAGATCGCTTCTGGATCAATTCTCCTCTTCTAGGAAGAAGGGAAAAAAATGTTGTTGTTAAACAGGAAAAAATTTAAGATCTTGGATACTACAGACTATTACCACATTTCTGTGGTTTTTATATTTTGCCCTGCTCAATTTCTCTTTGTTTGTGCTGAACAATTTCATTATGTTTCAATCTAAAATAGACTCTTTGCCTTTGTTGTTTACCTATGCTTTCTTTTTATACACTGTGTTTATTAGTTTATATATTGTTAGATATATGAAACTGTATGCAGGGCAAGAATGAAGGGAGCAAGCAAACAATATGAGAAGGAACCAAACACAAGGAAGCAAACACAATCACAATCAGTTAAGGAAGCAAGCACAGTCAACCAGTGGGCCAGAAGAGGGTTTAAACTGATTTAATTTTACCCATCTGCTAAATTTGTAGTCAAGTACTAAGTTTGTATTTTTAATTATACTATATCTACTGTAATAAAACTCACTATTTGCACTATATACATACTACTATATTCTTTCAAACTCACACAGTTTAAATATCATCATTAGCAAACTAATAAAAAAGACAAACATCTACCAATAGTAAAACAGTTACACTAATGGTTGAAATTAAAACACTAAAATTGAAAGTAATCAAATATACATTCACTTTATAGATAGTCCTACATTCTATACCTTTAAATCAACATTATTTTAATTTAGATATATAATTGGTCAAGTTCAAATGCAATTCAACTTTAAAGTTAAAATTTAATTATAATAGATAGTCCTACATTCTAGACCTTTAAATCAATATTACTTTCATTTAGATATAGACTTGGTCAAGTTAAAATGTAATTAAACTTTAAGGATAAAATTCTAACCAAAATAATAGATTGACCAGATTATAAGTATATAGTCCTATTTTCTACACTTTTAAATGAACAATAGTTAAAAATTATATTTGACTTTGTCAATTGAAAAGTAGATAGTCAATTTTAGCACTAACTCAATTAAACCCCAAAACAACAATCAAAACAAATTAAAGAAAAAAAAAATAGTCTTCTCGTGTAACCTGTGGGTGTCCCCCTTCCATATATTTCAAAAAAAAAAAAAATAGTTTTGGATTGCTCAAAATTTAGTTTAAACAATGATAGATGATACACATTTGTATGAAACATAGCTGAGTAATACTTCTCTTTCTAGAATTACAAAATCACACTGTTTTTTAGTACATATCTGTAAAAAGTACACTATAGAGAACTATTCTTTATGACAACTAACCTAAAAGAACCTTACTTTAATTTAGATATAGCTTTGGTAAAGTTAAAATTACATTATACTTTAAGGACAAAATTGTATCCAAAATATTTGATTGATCACAGTATAAGTTGGATGAGAATTCAAAATCAATTCCAATTAACCAACGATACAATTACAGGAGAGTATATCTCAGTCTACCTCTAACTACTCCTATCTAATAGGATACAGACAGTAGACTCATTCTAACCATAGAAAACTAATCATAGGTTATACAATTATAAACACAGATAATAATATTAATACTCACACACCCCCTCAAGCACACCGGTGTTAGAGACACAACGTTGAGCTTGTCTCGAAGAGCTATAAATCTGGGTTCGGGAAGAGGCTTGGTGAAGACATCGGCCAGCTGATCTTTAGTCGATACAAAATTAACCACAAAGTCCCCGCTGGCAACCTTATCACGGACGAAATGATAGTCGATTTCAACATGCTTCGTCCCTGGCATTGAAAACTGGATTAGCACACAGATATGTTGCTCCTAAATTATCACACCACAGAGTAGAAGGCTGCCCAGTGTGTAGACCAAGCTCACGGAGAAGAGAGACAACCAAGTGACTTCAGCGGCAACATTAGCTAGGGCTTATATTCTGCTTCAGTCGAAGAGCGGGCCACAGTCCGTTGCTTCCTTGATAGCCAAGAGACGAGATTAGTCCCGAGAAACACTGCATACCACTAGTGCTCTTCCTATCAATTGGACAGCCGGCCCAGTCAGAGTCGGAATAGGCGTGAAT